GGAGTGGTGAACCTTCGGTAGTTCCCAAGGATCGCAACTTTCCGACTAGAGCGGTGTACCCTCCTTAGTTCCCCAGGGATCGCACCTTTCCGACTAAAGCGGTGTACACTCGGTAGTTCCCAGGGATCGCACCTTTCTGACTGGAGCAGTGTACCCTCTTTAGTTCCCCAGAGATTGCACCTTTCCGACTGGAGCGGTGTACACTCGGTAGCTCCTCAGGGATCACACCTTTCTGACTGGAGTGGTGAACCCTCGGTAGTTCCCCCGGGATCGCACCTTTCCGACTAAAGCGGTGTACACTCGGTAGTTCCCAAGGATCGCACCTTTCTGACTGGAGTGGTGTACCCTCCTTAGTTCCCCAGGGATTGCACCTTTCCGACTGGAGCGGTGTACCCTCGTAGTTCCCCAGGGATCGCACCTTTCTGACTGGAGTGGTGTACCCTCGGTAGTTCCCCAGGGATCGCTCCTTTCCGACTGGAGCGGTGTACACTCGGTAGTTCCCAGTGATCGCACCTTTCCGACTGGAGCGGTGTACCCTCGTAGTTCCCCAGGGATCGCACCTTTCCGACTGGAGCGGTGTACCCTCGTAGTTCCCCATGGATCGCTCCTTTCCGACTGGAGCGGTGTACACTCGGTAGCTCCCCAGGGATCGCTCCTTTCCGACTGGAGCGGTGTACCATCGGTAGTTCCCCAGGGATCGCACCTTTCTGACTGGAGCGGTGTACCCTTGTAGTTCTCCAGGGACCGCTCCTTTCCGACTGGAGCGGTGTACACTCGGTAGCTCCCCAGGGATCGCACCTTTCCGACTGGAGCGGTGTACCCTCGTAGTTCCCCAGGGATTGCACCTTTCCGACTGGAGCGGTGTACCCTCGTAGTTCCTCGGGGATCGCACCTTTCCGACTGGAGCGGTGTACCCTCCTTAGTTCCCCAGGGATCGCACCTTTCCAACTAAAGCGGTGTACACTCGGTAGCTCCCCAGAGATCGTTACTCGGACTAACATTCTTCGTCATATATATAGATTACCCACTTGATACAATACAGTCTGAGGCTTACCCTTCTGCAGACGACACGGCATTATTTAGATGTATCCATGGAAGTGCTGATGTAAATATACTCCAAGATCTGGTAGCTTGGATTGCCAAATGGCTACCGAAATTCCTTCCACAACTATGTTAGTTAATGTGTATTGGAAGCAATAACGATGAAAGAATTAATAGCAAAAAAAACAAAATTGCAAGAAGTAGACAATGACAACAGGGGAGTAGTTATTAGACCAACCTCTTCTTTTGATGAACGTAAAGTACGTAAGCTAAGAAACAAATTCTGTTTGCACTGTGAGACGAACTTTCCTTCTTCTTTTTTTTTAAATATCTACAACTTTTCGTTACTGTACAAGACAATAGCTTAGTACATATTGATATGCTTGAAGCTGTGCAACGGATGAAAACTCAACAATTACCTTGACTTAAGGAAATGTCCTATTCAGATAGACTTAAACGGCTTAGATTGCCAACACATGTCTTCGTAAGGATCGGGGGAGGGGAATGGGGGAGGGGGTATGATCGAAGCAATATTTCTGCGATTGCGGAGCAGCGGATTTCCTTTGACTCTGGAACGACATGAGGAACGAAAAAGCTATTTCAACAGAAATGTACACTAAATATAGGAAAATTTAAAACATCTCGGCGAAATGTTCGACAATTTTCGGAATTCTAATTTCCCGAAGATAACCGGAAATTTCACCGAGATGCTGTGACTGAAGAAAGACCTTTCTCTATCAACTTAGAACAGAAGTATCCGATGAATCTCGTATGAATTTATGTCATGTGCATAGCTAAATAATGGTCTCAGATCAACAGGTCATCCAGAGATATACCGCACACAAGTTACGGTCGAATGGTTTTATATCACCATGTGCGTCCAGTGATGTACAGTACACAAGCTACGGTCGAATGGTTTTATATCAACCTGTACGTCCAGAGATGTACAGTACACAAGCTACGGTCGAATGGTTTTATATCAACCTGTACGTCCAGAGATGTACAGTACACAAGCTATGGTCGGATGGTTTTAGATCACCATGTACGTCCAGTGATATACAGTACACAAGCTACGGTCGGATGGTTTTATATCACCATGTACGTCCAGAGATGTACAGTACACAAGCTACGGTCGAATGGTTTTATATCAACATGTACGTCCAGAGATGTACAGTACACAAGCTACGGTCGGATGGTTTTATATCACCATGTACGTCCAGAGATGTACAGTACACAAGCTACGGTCGAATGGTTTTATATCACCATGTACGTCCAGAGATGTACAGTACACAAGCTACGGTCGAATGGTTTTATATCAACATGTACGTCCAGAGATGTACAGTACACAAGCTACGGTCGGATGGTTTTACATCACCATGTACGTCCAGAGATGTACAGTACACAAGCTACGGTCGAATGGTTTTACATCACCATGTACGTCCAGAGATGTACAGTACACAAGCTACGGTCGAATGGATTTACATCACCATGTACGTCCAGAGATGTACAGTACACAAGCTACGGTCGGATGGTTTTATATCACCATGTACGTCCAGAGATGTACAGTACACAAGCTACGGTCGAATGGTTTTATATCACCATGTACGTCCAGAGATGTACAGTACACAAGCTACGGTCGATTGGTTTTATATCACCATGTACGTCCAGAGATGTACACGGTTAACGGATCAACCAATGTGACAAATGTATTTTACTGCAGTCATGCTGCACTTTTACAACTGAGTTGTCAGTCGAGCAGTTCAGAAAGATATGTGTAAATAAGTTAAGGTTTAAAAAGACATTTGCTCCATTAAACATTACAAGGAATGACGATGCATATATATCATACCTTGTTTGTTTGTTTTTTATTCTGTGTATTCATTTATTCTGGTGTTTTTAATGCATACATAACTATTTAAGATTCTAGCCAGGAGTTAATTAATAGTTCGTTTTTTTTTATTCAAATAATACGAATATATCATCGTGCCGTAAATTGGTTAAAGAATGCATATGTGTTGGCTAGTAAGTGTCTCGGTACTGGCTGACATTTCCCAGCTTGTATTTCTATGTATTGTTTCATATATAACACATTTAAGACAGACAATGAAAAATAAAGAAATTTGTTACTATCAATGTCTTATAATGATAATAATATTCCATACATTGAAAAGAAAAAAATAATAAAAGACAAAAGAAAGTACTTTTGTTAAAGCGCAGGTGTCTGCCTTGTTGTCTCCAACCATCAACAAGCCATTGATCTGTACCAGTCTGAAACTGGTAGTAGGTATATCTTATAATGCATGCAACCACACGTAACACCTTACAAAGAAAGCAATATAACTGCCGACCTCGTATTTCATCAAAATTACGTAAGGTATTCCACAAAAAAGCTACATCTCTTGACATTTACAGATAAATTTATATAGAAGTGTTTTGTAAATGATACTGTTTTTAAGACATATCATTAAAGATATAAATTCCTCTTGTAGCATATATCCACTTAGTTTAAGACTTCTAGAATAAAACAATTTCCAGAGACGAGAATTATTCAATATTACGGAGACAGGACCAGTCTAGTTTGTAGTCGTATTAACAGCTCATGCACTTATTATTGTAACAAATTATTGTTTCTTTTATACAATGTATCATTGTGGACCACGCTGTTGAGTTATGATGACGCCACTTACAGTCTGACAAATACCGCCTGTTAAGTTTATAGAACGGATTGCAGTGTAGACGTAAATAGATCTCTAACGTCGAGACAGATTTTGCACCAAAAACATGCACTCTTTGACACTCATTAGAATACCTCAGCAATGACATGTAGTCTATTTGGATGGATATTTGACATGCCTGTTTATACGCAGATATGTTAAAACTGTTTTTATTTAATTTCATTTAAACTCCCAACAGCAAAAACAAAAAAGAGAACATGCCAGTTCCGGTCCTTGCTGTTATGTGTTCTATTGGTAATTGTTATTGGTGGCATATGTCAGGGATATGTTATTGTTTTATTATGATATCGTATTAAATGCGCGTGTTTATGATTGATACGTATATAAATGCTACAAACAATATATGCATTCTTTTATGTACAAGTTTTAACAAAAACGAAATATCTTTTATTTAACCGGTTGGGTATCGCATAGACTGCATACTTTAATTTACACGTTAACGGCTGTAAATTTGATATAAAAGAGTCTCGGTGTAGGGCCCAAATGTGTCTACCAATGTGAGGTCTCAGCTTGACCTTAAGCTCCCTACTGAAGCAGACGACATTGTGTAACAAACTAATCGTGTCGTCTCTTGCCCTTGGTATGCATTCGTCTGTTACCATGATAGGTGATTCAACAGCCTGTATTTTATTGAATGTCTTTGGGAATTTTAACTTGTTCTTTCATATAGGTGCTTTTACGACACGTTTATTGCAAAAGTTTGTTTTCTTTGTGCCTAGCTCGTGTTTATCTTGTCGAATAACTGACGTACATAGACAATGCCTACGTTTATCAACAAACCAACCTGCTATTTCAATTCAAAATGAACAAGAAATGGACAGAAAGGTAAGAGTTTGCAAAATACACTGCAATTTAAATACGAAATTAAATTCATTTAATAGAGAAATGATCACAATTGCAAAATGGGGCCTCGATATTTCAATCAGCAGAGCAATCAGACATCATCAGTTCAGTTCAGGCGTGAAGATTTCTGCCCTTCCCACGGCAGGTTTGTAATTCTCAGGAAAGTGAGATCGTGGACTGTTCTGTGCTGTTGTTGTGGTTGTCCTTGTGGATATTCAACCAAACTGTTTTCGATGGCAAGCGGTGGAATTCCCGCCCGTTGTTCAATGAGGCAGTCACCAACTCCAACAAGGAGACAGACAGGGTAAAAAAGTCCCAGTAGAGGAAGATCTCCGTAAATACCAGGCCCAATGTTTTCTCAATAAATATGTGAACACGTGCTAATTAACATGAAGTTTTACTTTTAATTAACTTTTACATCACATGACGTACACAAACGGATGAAGAACATTGCTCACGCAACGCTATATTCAACTATGCACTATACATACAGCTCCATATTCCACATACAACACCGCACATTACTTCTCATACGACTAACTCCGCTCCGGCCACAACTCCGCACATTACTTCTCATAAAACTCCACACTGAACTCCTAACTCCACTCCGTCCACAAGTCTGCATATTACTTCTCATACAACTCCACACTGAACTCCTAACTCCGCTCCGGCCACAACTCCGCACATTACTTCTCATACAACTCCACACTAAACTCCTAACTCCACTCCGTCCACAACTCCGCACCTAACTTCTCATACAACTCCACACTGAACTCCTAACTCCAATCCGTCCACAACTCCGCACAGTACTTCTCAAACAACTCCATACTCCACTGCGTCCACAACTCCGCAAATAACTTCGCTTACAACTCCGCACTGAACTCCATACTCCGCTCCGCCCACAACTCCGCACCTAACTTCTCATACAACTCCACACTGAACTCCCTACTCCACTCCGTCCACCACTCCGCACCTAACTTCTCATACAACTCCACACCGAACTCCATACTCCACTTCGTCCACAACTCCGCACCGAACTTCTCATACAACTCCACATTGAACCCCCAACTACACTCTGCCCCTACCTTCTCATAAAACTGTGCACTTTACATTCCTGCACACTTCACATATAACCCCATACTCCATTCCGCAATCAATTCCACACTAATTTTCTCGTACAAATCCGCTCTTTACATACAGCTCTACACTTTATCTTAAACTCCATAATATACCACTCAAAATCGCAACTGGCACATATCGTACTCCTAGGCATTAAGTCTACTTTGATTTACTATCTTGGGACAATTTTCTCCCAAAGCGACAGATATTCTCTCTAAGAATATTTACTTATGGAAATGTTAGAGGAAAGACGTTTCCATCAATACTGTTGAGTACTAGTGTTCAAGGTATGCTAGTTGTATAACTAGTAACCTAGTTTGTCTTCTTGATATGGTATTCCTGATCAGCAATATCAACATAATCATAATTATCATAATACACAAAAAAGGTCTCAAATAATAAAAAATCTTATTAAAGAAAACACAATATTTTTTTAGAAATTTAAAAATATATATTTAAAAAAGGGAAAAACCTACCAATAAAATAAATTGAGTCAATGAGTAGTTCTAAACTGTAATATCTGTCCACGAAGAAAATGTATCCCAACATGCCTTTAGACATTTATACAGCTTGTCAGGTCCAGCTCACTTATCACAGGACCACAAAATACCAAAATCTCACTGGCCTATCACCTTATCCAAACTAAATCCTACTACATATTACTCCCTGTCCCGATCGCTCCAGCCCAAATTCCATTTCAGTCTGTGGAATTTATTCCGGTTCAACACAATTCTAAACGATTTTTATAATGTCAATTTCGTTTTGCATCGAGTAAATTCCTTTGTTTAAATTCTTCAAATACTTCATAGCAAAATCTCGACTGTCGAATTTTCTTAAATTCAATCTTCATTTTATACAAAGTCAGCTCCAACGATCTAACGAAATCCATTAAGACATTTTACAGTGTTTAAAGTATGCTTAGCAGCAAATTGATTGGTGTAAGATAAAATACATCTTTTTAACTGTTTGTGCTTAATTTAAGTATGCTTTTTCCTTTACATATTATGCATGTACTTTCCTAACATTCTTTCACTTTTCTAAGAACTGAACAGAAATTATAAACTCTTTGTCTGTAAAATCGAGTTCAAAAAAGATTAAAATTATCTTAAAGCCCCCATCTAAAAAAACCCACAAAATAAAAACATATAACCAAAACTCTGCCGGACACTTTTTACTAGTTTTTCTTGATTATCTTTGTGTGTGATTTCGTGAACCTGTTTTTGATATCACAAAGTTTATTCTGATAGTCTTTTTTCCGTTGAGGTTTTCGCTACCTTTTTCTTATTTTTGAAAAACTTCGTCTTTCTTCTTCGGTGTCGCTGATAATCATATTTTCTTTTCCTAAAACGTCTCTTTCGTCGTCTAAGTTTTTTCTGTTTTTGTTTACGTTTGTCCCTTCGTCTGTTCTTCTTTCTTCGTCTACGTAAATCATATTCACTATCCGGGTATTTCACTGGGCCACCATATTGTTGCGTGGCAACCATATATGAATTTGGTGAGCACGGGCCCTTATGTCTGACCTTCAGCCTTGTTTTCATTGTGCATCCAGTCACTCTCATGTGGCAACGAGAATAATAGGTATTTCCGTCACTTCCGCACACTTCCTTGGTATTGCGCCTGCGCCGTTTACATATCAGAATGTTTGGACACGTGCACAATGGAAGTCCTTGCATATTTTCCATGCATACTTTGAATTTTGGACATTTAACCTGCTCGCAGGATCCACCTGAAAATACACAAATTATGAAATTGAACGCCCGTAGACTTTTTAACTTTATCGAACTTAATCAAACAAGGGTTAATTTTAGAAATGCAAAAATTAAAGCTGATTGGAAGGAAATTATTATCAGTCTCCGAAGAAACACAGGAGTACCGTAATGTCTGTTGTCAAGCAAAATCAGTTTGTTAGTCGTTGCAAAAATAGATAAATATTTGTTTTAATGGGGTTTTTTTTTATATAAAATTCTGAGTTTCCGTGTTGTAGTTTGGGGAAAATTGATGTCAAAAATTGACAATCTAATCAATCGAATGACGTCATGTGTCATTAAATCTGGTTGAAAATTGAACTATTTCGTTTATCAGGTATATAGAAGACAATTTGAATGTGAATTTGTAGTAAAAACCAGCGGTATTGTCACTTTCCGAATACATATACCAGTAAATCAAATTGCCAAATATAAAATGAAATCTGACCACCTTTCCCAAGCCATGAGCAGGATATACTGAGTCAGACTATAGGCACTTCATGTAGACAGGTTAGTGCACTTCGTGGCGCTACGGTTAAATGGACGACAATAACAAACATCCAAATACGGCACAATGGTATCAGAATTATTGTGGGAGACGTTTTGAACCCAAATCAGAAACGTACGTGGAACCTTTAGTGGAGGCTAAACCATTTGGTTATAAACTCAAGACATTGTTGTAAAGTTTTTTTGTTTGACTTTTAAGAATGCGCTACAATTTCATATAAATGATAGATATATTTCGATAGTGTACGTTATATCACAGATATTTCTGTTTATCAAAATCGTGACAAATTTCGACTTCAGATGAAGAGGCTGGTTGAAACTATCTGATCGGAACGTTGGAGTATACATAAAAGAACGAACAAAAGCTTTTTATCCTTTGCTAGATCATGAAATTTTCGTGATTTATTTTCGTGTACAGTGTTCCGAAAGAAAGTTGTGAAAAGTATTGTATGCTTCCCCAACACGCTCCACTTGATACTGCTGTTCGGAGAGGATTTTATTGGCCGTGTTTAGTAACAGAGGCCGGCGAGGAGGGTTATACGATAACCTCACAAGTTGTTTTATTAAGATTTAACATCCACTCTCTTCAGAAGCCGTTGACATAAAGCTATCATCACCCACATATTTAGTTACAACGACCATCAATCGCCATTACCGCAAAGAAGTCTGGCAGTAGACAGGGCGGTATATCACGCTGTAATCACGTTTGTGATCACGCACGGTTAGGGAATGAACGAGAACAGACGAATTGAATTAGTCTACAATAGAAATTGTCTTGCTGGAGTTTCACAAACGCTCTCTCATTTTTCATTTAATATACACGGTATTCGCTGATTGAAGACGTCACTTTGTAGCGACTAGGGACGCATGTTACAGAATGACTAGTCAAACGTTTACACAATACGCTTGTCGAAATCTACTGGCACACTAAGAACGATAGCCACAGGAGTTTGTGGTATGTCAGTGGAAATTTTCTTATTAATACTCCCTAACCAAAATTGTTCCTTCGCGTAACGGGCTCTTGGGGGTTCCTAAACACCTATTTCCGGTTTACCAAGCATCTGGTGTGGTCAATAAAACGTTTGATTAGCATGCTTCTCATTACAGAAGGAAGTCGATGATGCAACATAGATGTATCAGTAAAACTTAATTACAGTTACATCCGCTTGTAACGCGTATTAAAAGGAATTTTATAAGTGGCAGTTTCTGATTACGTTTGATTTAAAGTAAGTAAAAAAAGGTTTGGTTGAAATTGTCTTCATGGAAAACAGGGAATCTTTGAATTGGTAAAGACCGACGTCATTTCAAAGTCTGTTATGTAAACGTCAATTTAACATTAGAATTTCTAGAAGGCAGGAAAAACTAAATGTGGACCATTTACGTGTAGTGTTTAATACATCTCGACTCCAAACGAGCCGTTTTGACAACATAACTGCTATTAATAAATCCATCACCATTAAATTTCAGTCGTAATTTGCTATTTACGATAAATACTGCTGTCAGCATATTTATTAAGAATCTTGTCAAAATTCATTATCTATTTCTGGAGACATGTATAGTAATATTAACTGACATTAAGTGCGCCAGTCATTATAACCATTATTTATATATGAAGATGGGTGTGTTCGGCAGACTTTTACTGGGATTGGCAATTCAAGAACATCGTTTTGATATACAAATATAGATTGATATATTGATTTAAGATTAAATCCTCAGACAGGAGTTCAACAAACGTCAATTTATCAATTAATTTATTAAAGGATATCATTACAATCAATTAACATTGCCATCGAACCCTCTGCTCATTAGAACGCTCAACTATCCATAGTGTTGCGTATAATAGAATGTAAAGATATTATTATGTATAATTGTGTGTAATATTAGCAGATATCGGATACGCACCGCTTTAAACCTACAAGGATAAGATCTCTCATATCTTCTATCAGACAAGTACTCTAACTGGGTTGGTCGTGTTACATACAGTAACTGTTGGTGACACTGTGCGAAACGCGACACCCCGTGCCTATACCCCGGCAAGTCTTGTTATCGAATGTGGATACAGTATAAAAGAAGGCTGGCTTTGTTTTACCCGGTTTTTTATGGCTAGATGGACACGAGGTTGTAATTTTGAAGTAGGTTCTGGTTGACGTTATCTTTTGTCACTATGACGTATTAAATGATTTAATATACAGTTCGTGTCTCAGAAACTGTCAACTTTAATCCTAGTTAAAAAGCATCGCTAGTTTTATATTATATTGTCAGACATTTTAAACCGTCATTAGTCTTCCCAAAATAGATCACAACCAACTAAATGCTATAATTAAGTGACTACAAACCAAATATAATTTTCTAAATGATTGTATAATTTGCATTTTGATGTGAAACGCTGCACATAATTTGACGTAAGTTGTCAATGCCCTGTGAGAATCAGTTTCGAGGAGTTCCGAACAAGGACAAAACTGAAGAAAATTCATCTTGTTATCTGCTTCAGTCGGTTATTATTCCTAATCGTGACTATCCATTCGAGATAAATTGATAAAAAATTGATACAAATCACGATTAAAGAGCAGGGGTTAAAGGGAAGGGAGGGGTAATTCGTGCTTGTTTTTATTACGGGGGAGGGTAACGAGCCGGGGCAGGTCAAAAAAGTTATCATCGCACTAAACGGACAGAGGGAAAATACCGGGCCAGAGATATGGACTTCCGACCAGAGTTGAATGTTTGTGAAGATGTGACTGATGGGATCTCGATAAAGGCGAGGGAGGGACAAATCCGTTTAACAAAATTAGCAAGTTTTTTTTTCAAACTTAAAAAAGGGAGTGGCTGTTGAGTTGTTTTAAACTTTGACTAGAAATCTGTAAAACTTTAAATCTGTGTTTGTTAAAACGAGGTGTAATCGTTTATCAGCAAATTAGCAAGGTCAACTAACCGAAAGAGTTTAATTACGACAGCAAATTGGATAACGACGTTATCTTCATCAAACCACCTGTCGCTTTGGAAGGCACGCCTGTTATGAGAATGAGTAGCAAGCTTGATTTTTCAGTCTAGACCAGAATCTGGTGCGATTCTTCTTCTCTTACAATACACGTATTGTGGGGCGTACGAAGATTTGAATCCTCCCTAATTTCTAATCTCCAACCCCTGTCCTTTTTGTTAGTTTCGGGGTAAAACTCCGATTGACTGCATCAGATGATGAATTGGCAATTATAACTTAAATTTGTGCTGGAAAACAGCATACGTTATATTTTTTAAGTTAAATCTTGACAAGTATCCGAGTATAAATTTCGTGTTCATCAGTCTCCAGATAAGACATACTCAGATACTTACAACACCCAATGCTGGGGCTATTATAGGTTTCTTTTATAGTGTCATCACACAGAAATGTCCTACCTTGGACACGATTAGACGATTCCCGATCACATCCTATCCGTATCGCCTACTAATTCAAGATGAACGTGGAGACACAACTGAGAAAACGAGGAACAATTTCTTATGTCCTATCCTATCATTTCGACAACCTTATGATATAAGTGACTCCAATGAATTGACAAAAGATAATGTTTTGTGAACTGAAAGAAATCCGAATTAAAAAATGAAACCAGTTGTTGCAAGAAATCTTCGTCTCATCTTAGTAATCTGGGAAACGGTTGTTATTGCATAAATATATATTTTTAAACGAAATTTCTTAATTTTCTTAAACATGTGATACCAACGCCAAGAGATTTAAACTGCTTTGATACAAGAATATTCTATTTACTTATATCGATATACTGAGTCAGAGAATAAGATTTCCAGGTAACATGCAACGACAACAGATTTATAAAGACAAGTCGAGGTTGGTTTCATAAAAAAATCATATTATTTGTACATTTGTGAAATATTTTATCTCTCTCGATCTTGATTTCTCTCGTACCCTCTCTATCTCACTTTCGTCTTCTTTTTTTAGTTGCACATGCATGAAATTGTATGCCTTGTTAATGTTATCATATAAATATTATCATGTATTGTATTAGAGGAAAAGGCGATCATAAGTTGAAATAACTTGTGCCTAGTCCTCAGCTCAATTTTGGGGCAATAAATATGTTTAAATCATCAATCATGAAATTCAACCACCAAGGCCAATCTTAATGTATAGATGAAATATGTGTCACTGGGCAGTGCGTTAATAATGCTGTACTAACTTGTGTCCAGTCCTATTGTCTTTCTCTAAGCTATAAAATATGCTTCAACTAAAGTAAATGACAACTAGGTATATTCAATATTAGTAGAGAGCGTTGTTGGCACGTGTGAAAGAAACGTCGAGAGCACGATGAGCGGTAACCCTGAAACAGACACAGTAGACTGACACCGTCTATACTTTGTAGGCTATAAAACTGATATGACCTTAATGTACTGACATGGTTTATATATCCCGACGAAATGGGGAATTAGCAGATAAGACGATCTCCTACAACTTCCCTACTGGCTTACACACTCGACGTCCCATATTTTTACAAATTCTTCCTTTAAGTGAGTTTTTCCTGTATTGCGATTAATTCTTTGCTTACAAATATCCTTTACGAAAATTGGAGTTCTGTCTCGATTTTTTTTAATCAGCGGCAGCTTTATATATATATTTGGCATCATTTCGGTAGACTGTAGAACTCATCATCCTTCATCAATACTTTTAAGTGTTCGCTTTAATAAGGAAACATGACAACCTTGTCCGATGTCTGCGAAACCAGGGACGTACAATACAGACAATATTAGATGTCTTATGAAGTGGTAAATTTAAATGCAAGTCCCGAGCTATGTTCATGTACTCTTAGGACTTTTTTATGACTCATAGAATTTCTGGAAATACTTACATTTTACCATGTGGGAGACTGATAAAAATATACTAAAGATTGATCACTCGTTATGTATATTTACAGACTGAAGTCTTTATTATACGTCCCTGGTGAAATCTACCACACAGCGATAAAATCCGCCGGTGTATATATTAACGCTTATGATATAAACTGTCTTATTCAATAGAATAAATTATTTACCGAAAGTTTAAAATGTGGCAATACTCAAACCTGGATCACGTAAGGATAATATGATCGGTCACCATAACAACCATAAACGTTGCTTTATCCGAAACTGAATGTCACGTGCTTTATCTTATTAACAAATATGATACATGTTTGTATAAAAAAGGAAAAGCATATGTCCTTACATACATAGAGAATTTTAGAGAGCTTTCGCGGAAGTTAAGTGTTTAAAACCGACCTATCATTAGCGGAAATCTCTTAAAATACTTCCTGGTAAGTACATTCATACTGACTATTTAAGTTGAAATTCTGTGGATTTAAAAATGAATAAAACGTGAAAATTTTTATTTGCTTACTAGAAAAAAAATCTTGACATTTAGACGAGAACGTTATACAGTAAACCGAGGAGAAGGTTGTTCCTCAGAAAATCAGTTAATTGAGACTGCGATCACCATATTCAAGATTTTGTGTAATTAATATAGACAATATTTCTGGGAGATGAAAGTTTTCAACCGATAAAACTATTTAAACTTTGCCGATGTGTGAGGTCAGAAACTCCACTAACAGATCCCCTCGTCCGATGTTTAACGTTCACATTACCTTCGTGTAACTACCATTTTATGTCCATTAAATCCGTTTTAATGCGTTAAATATCAATTACGTACATTTAAAGACACGTGCGATTAGACTAAGAAGTACGCACTTCACAGGATATATTTTCTTTCCTTCTTTCTTCACTCGGATACTTCAAACGACTTTGTTGCCCCAATATCTTTACCTGTGTGCATACATCTCCATGTATTTCAAACTTTTTTAAAATGCCGTTGATTTATTCTCCGCGCATTTGTAAAAATGTGAACACTCGTATCTCAATTCCACCTGGTAATCAATTTTGTGTTCTTCGGACAAGCATTATCCTCGTGTGTTGATATTAACATCATATACTACGTTACACTCGTAAATACTTATTTCGGGAAATCGAGGAATACGTGTACTTTAATAGTTGGAATCATCACGCAAAATTGTCGAATTTCAGAATTATCTGTAATCTAATCAATTGATTCAAGATGTTTGATTAATTGATTGACTAATTAATTGATTGGTCGGACGACTATTTATTTTTTGTAACCGTGTAGCATTATGTCATGTTTGTACATGATGGTTGATGACACTATACAGTTCATGTCCCCATCATTCAAAACAAAATCTTATTAAATTACACCCTTAATTATGTGTTCAGATTTTACTAATGTTAACCATATATCAAAGATGGACTAACGGGGAGATTTAGCGTCTATTGATACAAATTTAGACCAAAAATCTGCAGCAAGAAACTGTTTCGTCCCTCTCAGTTATTAGTTGGGAGTTGGAGAGATGTCGTACTGGAATTGCTCGTTAGTTTACCTGTTGGTTCGGTTTATACCTTGCTCTCATTTGAGAAGGTGACATTACTTACTTCGATCGACCCAAGGTTTTTACATGGCGTGTGTCGTCAATGAAGTGGAAGACGTTTACTCTTCCGGAGCACCTGGTCTTATTTTCCTTGTACTTTTTCAGGAGCCTCCTTGTAAATCTTTCTTTTGTTCATTTTTTACCATAGTTTTATAGAATTTGAGTTTAAATCATGATTATGTTGCCATGTTGATTGCGCACTTTTGCCAACACGAGGCAGTGCGATGTTTTATATTGTTGTCTCTTCAGCGATCACACTAACGACGTAATATTGGTCGCGTGATGAATGTCATTTATGGTACAATGATTCACACTTCTTCCTGGCTAGTTTATTTAGAGACACTGCCATACAAATGGAAATGTCCATGATTCTAAGTTTGTCACTGTTTGGTACAAAGCCAGATTATTACGTGTGGGTATGCTACGTCTACGTAGTGTAGCTATAATTCATTGGGATATGGACACGCGCGTTGTTCATTGCCTGTCGGCCCATTAATGTAATTCATTAGGATATGAACACGCGTGTTGTTCATTGCTTGCCTGTATGTTTGTAGGAGATTGATGGCCTCTTGTAGGTAGGATGTATACGAATAAACATGTATCATTATTATGTACCAGGAGTCCATGGGCGATGCGGACGGAAGGACGACGACAGAGGTTGGGGGGAGGGGGCAAATTGAGGAGAGGAGGAGAACGACGAGGAGAGGAGAATGAGAGGAGGACGAGTATAGTTATGATATATGAACTTGTGGTCAGGTCGAAGACAGACTAGACCTAGACGAAAGTCGACCGATATCAGACACAACCTAAAGATTAGTCAGGCCGCACTTAAATCAGTCATTTTTCCCCTTGCGTTAAAGATTCAACTTTCCAATACTTACAGATAATTTACATCACTATGGAAAGATGGCAAGATAAAACGTCTTTTTCCCCCTTTGATTCATCTGTGAATAATTTATCGAACATTTCTACCGACATACCTTAAAGTTAACCAAGCATTCGAATATTTCCTTCATAGGTATATAATAGTATGATAATAAATGCCTTTCAGACACAACTCGAGCGTTTTGTGTCAGACTATGTACTCCCACGGTATACACTTTAGGATTTACAACTTCTGCATAATTTAAAGCTCTCATTAGGCTGGGAATACTTCAGTGACAAAGCAAAACGCCTTTTACACTTATATATATCCTCGTATACATGTTAAATCGTTTACGACTTTGTCCCTTTGAGTGAAGGCATGTATAGTTAATTCCTATGAATGCCCATTGAAGATTACGTCACACTGGACTGAGAAGGTATTTTCCGTGTTAAGTCTATGCAAGCCTCGAGCCAGTTAGGACTGTAAACTCACACACACATATATAACAGAGCTACTTGTGTCTGAAGGTGGGTCTTGGTGCGATTTTAGATATACGTCATAAAATTGACTTTCAAACGACACCCCATTATATATGTGTACTGTCTTCATCAACTTACGATTTATCTGATCTTTCCTACAACTCAAGAAAGGAAAGAAATGCATAGCTTAATTGAATAATTAAATTAATTTATTGACAGATTGATTGGTTAATTGAGTGTTAAATGACATATTTAAATTTACATACACTGAAATGTGTATATATCTGACAGCTCATAATATGTTCGCGAATTCAAAACTTATAAACAACTTGAATAGAAAGAAAAAGTTTCAATGTCTGTCTACCAATTTTGCGTCTTTGAATATTTTTTTTATGTATGAAACAGCTTGGCGATACACAGTTTATCTGTAGATCCTATTTGATCGCTAATTACACGCTTGCTAAGGGGTCGTCCTATTGTGAGCATTGTCTCATTAGACTTTAAATGTCATATTAAATTTGTATTGTGAATGGAGTGATGAAATTCTTGTCCAGTCTTCGTTGAAGGGTACAGGATTTAATTTACTGATAACTTATATCATAAAATGTTCACATCGTTTTGTCCTAGACTGTTTCATCTGAAGTAAGATCTACATGGGAACGAGACCATTTTGCAAAGTAAGCCGAAATATTTCAGTTCTGTATCTAATAATAGCCATGACGAAGTTTATATGCTGAATAACTGAAGATGACACGTCGAGATGAAAAACTAAAATTTTATGAAAAAAGCAACGTTTAATCATATTTGATGACACACGCATCATTAAAGCGTCCTATCTGTCCATGTAAATTTGAAAAGACAGTAAGATATGGTACAAATGTACCCGGAATTCATCACACGAATATTTAATACACTTATTGAAGTAGAAAGTAAATAGTAAAGATCAATATATATATATATATATTTCAAATAATTAATAAATAATAATTACCTTTTTTGATTATTGGGTATTTAGGATGGATCCACATGTCTGAAGAACATGTCGGACAGCAGCCACAAGCATCTTTGACGATTGTTCCCGTACAGTACTGGACAACTGAACATTTGGTGACGTCACACTCTGATGGACACGGCACTAACTGTGGCAAGTCGTAACACTGACCCTCTCTCCTAAGGAAGAAATTAATCCACAGTAGAAATACTGCGGTATAATAGTTTCCATCCATGTCGAAACTAATGTAAACACATCAGCTTTTCTCAGTCTGTCCAACTTTGAAATGGAGAAAAATAAATTATTATCTATGATACTGGACTTGGGAAAACTCCTACTATTCACTTGCTCCCTGTGTTCCCTACATCGTGGTGTGTCGTCTGCTCGCTCAGATTAGGAGTTACTGTGTGTACGACTATCCCGTACAATGTGTTCAGTAGACAGGCTAACAATCAGCTGAATGGGTATACAACTCAGTCATTGGTTCAGCCAGCAACAGATAAGTCCATTGAGTAAGGTTACACAAGTTCTCTATCAGTTTTAATTAATCAATAACACAGACGTTGTACATACTTTTATATCGCTAAAAATTCATGCTAACTGTAGATCTATTCGTTTTCAGTTATTCTTTATAGTAACATCAGTTAGATGTTGAAAAAGTGGTGTAAAGCAGCCAGACGTTTCCCCTCTGGTGTGAATGGACTGTTCTTAGTTGTGTGCATATTTGTAGTCTGTGATTTCGTCTACGGGGGCACTAAGGATGAACTTTTCGCGCAGGAGGATCAATATTGACAAATGAAAATCAAATTAATCGAAATATTTGCCTTGTATATATGTATATACTGTGCCAGTCTGTGGCATTATTCCCACGGAGAATTAACAAAGGGTTTTCTACACAAAAACTTCCTTAGAAAACGCGACTAATGACACCCGTTGAGAAATCTGGGATTCGACCAAACATGTTCCGAGCCGAAAGTTTCCAAAACTTACCAAAATAATGAGAAAAAGATGACCGTTTAATGGAAAAAAGCATTATATAATAAAATATATATAATATTCTACTAGTATTTCGCATAAGATCGTAGTTAAAATGATAATCTTACAGTTATTTGGTAGAACCCAACTGCGTGACTATAATTTAAAATAACTGGCAACAGAAAGCATACTTCTTACGTATAAATACTTCTCAAAATGAAAGAAAACTTCCCCAAGTTTCAGTCTTCCGTCTTTAACAGAGGTCCTATCAATGGGCGAAGGCGGATGCCTACATATATACAGCCTTAAAAGACGCAGGTTTATTGGGCTTACTTCTCTGTCAACATCAAATGTCATTCTGAGGCGGAGTCTCGTTGATAAAGCTGGTGGTTACCTCACTGAACAACATACGAGAGGTTCATCTAAAGCATTTATAAAATATCACATGTGCTATATAATATACATCATGGGCTTTGTAAGATATCTGGTGCTTTATCAGATATCTCATGTGGTATGTCAGATATCTCATGTGATATGTCAGATATCTCAATTGGTTTTATACTGAAAATATCGTATACTTTATGACATATTTTATGTGATGTCCCGTCTTGTATAAGAGAAAGGGACCAGACTTTGTACACGTTCTCGAACACTAGCAAATGTGTCAAACGTGTGTGGACAAATCATGTTGACCTTTCAACACAATGAGAGAGTGTTCTCATTGTTTCATAAGACCAACAATACGTTCTTAAGAACAATGATCCTTGTTAAGGTACTGTTTTGTTATCTCGACATTTTCTCGACATCGTTGAACAGAGGGTCTCTGTCATCGAGCGCATATTCGGAAACTCTCTGGATTATTCTTTGGAGAATTAAGTTTTCGTTTTCGATGCCATGGAATTTCATTCAGTATATATCTTATAAGATATATATGTATATTACATAGGAGGTGTTTTACACAATATATATCTTATAAGGTATATATGTATATTACATATGAGGTGTTTTACACATTATATATCTTATAAGATATATATGTATATTACATATGAGGTGTTTTACACAATATATATCTTATAAGATATATATGTATATTACATATGAGGTGTTTTACACAATATATATCTTATAAGATATATATGTATATTACATAGGAGGTGTTTTACACAATATATATCTTATAAGATATATATGTATATTACATAGGAGGTGTTTTACACAATATATATCTTATAAGGTATATATGTATATTACATATGACGTGTTTTACACATTATATATCTTATAAGATATATATGTATAGTACATATGAGGTGTTTTACACATGATATATCCTATTTACCTGTTAGATATATATGTATATTACATATGAGGTGTTTTACACATGATATATCCTATTTACCTGTTAGATATATATGTATATTACATATGAGGTGTTTTACACATTATATATCCTATTTACCTGTTAGATATATATGTATATTACATATGAGGTGTTTTACACATGATATATCCTGTTTACCTGTTAGATATATATGTATATTACATATGAGGTGTTTTACACAATATATATCTTATAAGATATATATGTATATTACATAGGAGGTGTTTTACACAATATATATCTTATAAGGTATATATGTATATTACATATGACGTGTTTTACACATTATATATCTTATAAGATATATATGTATAGTACATATGAGGTGTTTTACACATGATATATCCTATTTACCTGTTAGATATATATGTATATTACATATGAGGTGTTTTACACATGATATATCCTATTTACCTGTTAGATATATATGTATATTACATATGAGGTGTTTTACACATTATATATCCTATTTACCTGTTAGATATATATGTATATTACATATGAGGTGTTTTACACATGATATATCCTGTTTACCTGTTAGATATATATGTATATTACATATGAGGTGTTTTACACATGATATATCCTGTTTACCTGTTAGATATAACCTATTTACCTGTTAGCTATATCCTATTTACCTGTTAGAATATATGTATATTACATATGAGGTGATTTACACATTATATATCCTATTTACCTGTTAGATATATATGTATATTACATATGAGGTGTTTTACACATGATATATCCTATTTACCTGTTAGATATATATGTATATTACATATGAGGTGTTTTACACATTATATATCCTATTTACCTGTTAGATATATATGTATATTACATATGAGGTGTTTTACACATGATATATCCTATTTACCTGTTAGATATATATGTATATTACATATGACGTGTTTTACACATTATATATCCTATTTACCTGTTAGATATATATGTATATTACATATGAGGTGTTTTACACATGATATATCCTATTTACCAGTTAGATATATATGAATATTACATATGAGGTGTTTTACACATTATATATCCTATTTACCTGTTAGATATATATGTATATTACATATGAGGTGTTTTACACATGATATATCCTATTTACCTGTTAGATATATATGTATATTACATATGACGTGTTTTACACATTATATATCCTATTTACCTGTTAGATATATATGTATATTACATATGAGGTGTTTTACACATGATATATCCTATTTACCTGTTAGATATATATGTATATTACATATGAGGTGTATTACACATTATATATCCTATTTACCTGTTAGATATATATGTATATTATATACGACGTGTTTTACACATTATATATCCTATTTACCTGTTAGATATATATGTATATTACATATGAGGTGTTTTACACATGATATATCCTATTTACCTGTAAGCAATATATGTATATTACATATGAGGTGATTTACACATTATATATCCTATTTACCTGTTAGATATATATGTATATTACATATGAGGTGTTTTACACATGATATATCCTATTTACCTGTTAGATATATATGTATATTACATATGAGGTGTTTTACACATTATATATCCTATTTACCTGTTAGATTTATATGTATATTATATACGACGTGTTTTACACAATATATATCTTATAAGATATATATGTATATTACATAGGAGGTGTTTTACACATTATATATCTTATAAGATATATATGTATATTACATATGACGTGTTTTACACATTATATATCCTATTTACCTGTTAGATATATATGTATATTACATATGAGGTGTTTTACACATTATATATCCTATTTACCTGTTAGATATATATGTATATTATATACGACGTGTTTTACACAATATATATCTTATAAGATATATATGTATATTACATAGGAGGTGTTTTACACATTATATATCTTATAAGATATATATTACATATGACGTGTTTTACACATTATATATCCTATTTACCTGTTAGATATATCCTATTTACCTGTTAGATATATCCTATTTACCTGTTAGATATAACCTATTTACCTGTTAGCTATATCCTATTTACCTGTTAGATATATCCTATTTACCTGTTAGATATATCCTATTTACCTGTTAGATATATCCTATTTACCTGTTAGATATATCCTATTTACCTGTTAGATATACCTTGTATAATTTGAGGAAACGTGATCGACATTGTACTTGAACATTTTCCAGTAGCAGATTTTTTTGACACCTTTCTCGTATTCTAAACAGACGACCGACACGTTTTGCTTTTTACACGAAAACTCAACATTGATTTTCCATATTTCGTCAAACGGTAATACATAAATAAATAGATAAATAAAAGAGAAAATAAGATCAACATGTCTTTTTGGTGCGTTTGAGATTTATATCATTTTCTTAAACAAAATCAAACATTGAGAAGATCAAGATGTTTTCGAAAAATGTAGGCATCAGCTCTAAAAGTGACAGACGTCAAGACAGATTTATTCTGAACACACTAAACCAATATATTTGAACTTTGACCGTATTTTTAAATAGCTTAGAGTACAACTCTTTTTTAACTAATTCGCGTGTTGCCAAGTTTTACAACACTTGGAACTGTTTTTGCCAATAACGCATTACCTATCACACCTCGACTGTATGACTTCATGCTTGATTAGATACACAAATACAGTTATTAATCATTTTTCCACATGGGAGGTTTTATTCATATTACGTTGGGTGGAGCAAATCTCTGCAAAATTTCTGTAACTATCTATTTTATCCTTTAGATACCCATTGATACCTCCCACCTGATCAATTTTATGATCAGATTCTTTTTTTAATCGCTGATTGGAACACTTTTCTTTACGAATAACAATGGTGGTGAGATACTGTTGCAGCCGACAAGATGTGATTACATTTACACTAAATTTGCCTGGCGGGGTACAAATCTTGAACCTTGCGGTCAGGCTTTCATACTTGTGGTGGGTTTTCAGAGAACAGGTCTGTCTTTTTCAGTGAACACGAGGTTCGTGATCTTGTTTGTAGAGAAAGAGTTCACGATCCTTCTGTATTTAATGTTCTTATCTT